TTTATTCTCTGGATCTATGTAGCTTGAAGAGCGTAAGGGATTGCGCAAAAAATTTGCTGACGAACGAAGCAGCTATTCACATACTAATAAATAATGCGGGTATAGCTGCTTATCCGTCATACGAGAAAACACAGGACGGAAATGAAATAACATTACAAGTCAACCATCTTGGTCATTTTCTTTTAACACTTCTGCTGTTGCCAAAGATGCAGAAGTCATCTCCCAACTGCAGAATAGTCAATGTCTCGTCACTTGCACATTTTAGTATGTAAAATACACTAAAAAAATTGTATTCTTAACTTAAGAATATTCTGCTTGCGTATAGTATGTTTTCTTCTAAAATAAGCGTCAAAACCTTAATTTAAGAAGGAAATCATCTAAATTATCATATTTTTAATATAAGAACAGGATGTCATTTCAACGATGATCTCAAATATCTTTTAAACAATACATTTTAGAGAAAAATGTTTCAGACAAAGTTGCATGGTTTTAAAGGAGAATCGTTATCAAAAACCGCGTGAAACGCGCGTGTAGCGATGATCGCCTTTGCAAATCAAGAATATATTATTAATTTAAGAGGAAACATTCTTATATCTGTTAAGAGGAAACATTAAGTACATCTTTCAAGAATACAATTTTTTCGGTATAATATTGTGATTGCTTTAAAACTGAACGAAACCGGTTTTTATTTATTAGTTCTTGTTTAAAATTAAGAAATTTTTTTGACAACAGTCGTTATTAAAACTTTGAATAATAAAGAGCGAATTTATAGATTCAGTGTATGTAAAGAATTCTTAAACATTAATAGCGTTTTCGAATGCAGTGGGTTTTAACCTGATCCAGGTCGAATATTTGACGTCACATGCTCTATTTCGATTTCTGATTGGACGAGGTCATGATATTTTTGGGTCAAACGTAGATTAACTGACCCGGGTCGGGTTCAAACCCATTCGAAAACGCTATAAGATTATATCAAGTGTGATTCGTGCAGATAACTTGAGGCTATCTGATATTGAGGATATTTTATACAGTTTTTCTTCTTGTATAGATATCTTTTACAATAAACATCTTGTACAGATATCTTTTAAGAAACATTATTAACACTTTTAAATTGTGTGCCAATATTAAAAGAGTCATTTCATTTTTGTTACACACAAATTTTCTATTGTAGTGACTGATATAGATTTCGATGATATTAATTTGGAAAGATCTTACGGGCCGATCAGAAGTTATGCACAATCCAAATTGGCGAACATTTTGTTCACCAAGGAACTCGCTCGTAAATTGAAAGGTATGACAGAAATACCGTATTATTACGAATTGCGTTAACTCACATTTACATAATATTTGACAATCATTAATTGATTAAATGATTTGTTATATAATAAAGGAAAAATATACATCGAAGATAAACTCTTACATAAAGATTTCGATTTTTAGAGGCAGATATTCATGGGATAAACACATATTCTTTACATCCTGGTATGATTCCGACCAGACTATTCCGGTATGGTGATAGGGCATTATTTCCAGGTTTTACTTTCTGTTGTAATATGTTTACGCATTTGTTTTATAAAAATGCTGAACAAGGAGCGCAAACAACAATATATTGTTCCGTAGATGAAAAGATAGCCAATGAGACCGGACTTTATTATTCGTAAGAATATATTATATATTGTACAAAAAATTATTTTTATAAAGTAAATATAATAAATTCAATTCGCGTCATATCTCTTTATCCCTTTTTTATCTTTAGGAATTGCGGTGTTACCACTCCATATCGGAAGGCAAACAAACATCAATACCCGAAAAAATTGTGGAATGTATCCTGTCTTCTTTTACATCTGGATCCAGAAAAAGATTTTACTACAATTTTAGAAACCGTTTCGCGTCAAATGAATTGAAAAAGTCATTTATTCTCAAGAGAATCGTTAAGAAAATTTATAATAAATAGTGTTTATATTTATTTAATCTTTAATTCATACAATGTTTAATACAGCAAGAAGTAAAAAATATATTCTGATAAATGTATATCTAATAAATATTTTATGATTTAATTCATGTATTTAAATAGATTAAAAATAGATATTAATGGAATAGATGCTATAAAGGCCGGTATTCATAGTCAGATCTTATATTCAAGACCATCTTAAGTACGGTCTTAAGAAGTCACGAACCAATCAGAGGGCTGCATTAGCGTCTTAAGACATTACTTAAGACGATCTTGAAATAAGAATCGACTATGAATCGACCAGCCTAAGGCCCGATTTCACAATATATGGTTACCTAAAGATTAAAGGTAACCAAAAAATTCATGAATAAATTTCATTGATGAATCTGTTGGTAACCTTTAATCTTTAGGTAATCATATTTTCACAATATGAGCCGTTTATTTTGAAAGGACCTAAGTCCATTAAAAAAAAAAAATGTTTATGACAGCTAACTTCAAGTTGTACACGCTATTACAGTCAACAATAAAAAATTGACAAATGGACTTAGGTCGCTTTCAAAATAATATTGGCTCATATTGTGAAAACAGGCATAAGACATGTTTTACAGTTTTTGTTCAGGGTCGTATTTTATTTTATAAAAAATTAAGTTGTTATTCTTTTATTATTTTTATTAATACACAGGGTATATCCCACGACCAACGTCTGTTTTTTTTTTTTAAGAGCGGATTTTTTGGAATATTTTAATTTCTGATATGAAAATGTTGAGGCTATACTAGTTCTTTTAATTAGTATCGATTATATAAAGTTTATTAGTTATGGATCTGACATTTCGCGCGGTGATAAGTAGACTGCGGAACTTTATGCAAAATACTTAACTGAATGTTTTGCATAAAATGCATATTTTGCAATTTTGTAAATTTACAGATGGCAATCTCAATCTTTTTACTTCACCTTTTAATAACTCTTTAACGAACAACGATTGACTGCTAAAACTGTCCGATAGTTAATATTCAGTTAAGTATTTTGCATAAAGTTCCGCAGTCTAGTGATAAGTAGCAAAGGTGCACCACGAGGGTCCTTTCAACAACTTCAAGATTATCGTACAAAATCGTAATTTGATTACTGTCACCAGTGAGAGTAAGAAAAACTAATTAATTGCTCTATTAGCAATGACTCATACACTCGATAAATCTCATATTAATTTTTACTATCAACTTTTTAATTTGTAATTTGGACATGATGTACACAATACTTCCAATTGAGATTTTGCCTCTTGCTTTTTAATTACGTTGGCTTTACCTGTTCTCGTCATCAACGGTAGAATTGGTTTTGTTTTTTTGGATAAAATTTTTTCCGATTTGCTTGAAGACTTATGTCAAGAAAAAACGTTCTACAACTGTTCTATATTTTCGCATAATTTTAATTGCTTTAAAAAGAGTTGGTAAGATGTAATCCTCGTAAAATTGTTGATTTATGTTAGTTATACATACGCTTATTTTGTTTTTCTATACTTTTAAAAATGTAATTGCTTATATATTTCATGGCTGATAAAGACTAAATTAAACCGAAACATACCGTGAGTTTTATATTTTTATATAAATTAATAAATAATTTATACTATCCGTCACTTTTTAAATTTGCTCGTTTTTAATATTTTGACATTTATTTGTTGTTGTCCTTTGCTTTTAAAAATATAAAAGTTGATATAAATTAGAGGAAGGTCACCGATACCGACATACTTTGTTTTTACACAATATTTCTTAAACAAAAGATAAAAATACAACTTCAAAAACATAAATACAAAGTAAAAAGTGTCTTCTATCAGATAGTATAAGAAATTTTTATAATACTGTTTGCAATTTTGCAATAATTAAGTTTTTCGTAAGTTATGCAAAAATGAGCGTCTGACGAAATGAGCTCCAAAACTGACATAGTAGGCAATAATACCAACATTCCTATTCTATAAATAAAGATATGTCCTATTCTGTAAAGAAAACTAGTTTATGAAACTATAAACATTTAAAATAACATAATATTATCAATAATACAGTCACTATTATATTAATTACGCAATTTGCAAAAGAACACCGTAAGAATTTTCTTCTCGGATTCATAGAATTGGTTTTTAGCTGATTTGTTATAGAAATAAGCCACATATATGAATTATGAGTTTGTACTTCTTTAATTTGCTAAACAGATCATGATTTTATTAATATTAATAAAGTGCAATAATTAGTTTCTGAAAAATAAGGGGGTGTCACTTTAGGAGACCTATGTCAGTATCGGCAACTTTCCTCTATATCAAAATACATGTTTATGCCATTAAAATTCATAAATAGAACAAATCGGTATACATAATTCTTATTTATAATTAAAATATGTTATAAGTTTATAATCAATGAATTCTTTAGATACATTTTACAATTTTACAAACCGTTTATTGTCGGATTTAAAACGCAATCTTAAAAAAGCTGTAGTAAATAATATAACATAATATTGTTAATGTTTTATCTTTACTGTAAATTCCGTACAGAAGCAAAAAATTTCTTAAAAATATCATTGCATATTTGTATAATAATCTTGAAGTAGCTGAGAGGATCAGATACATTTTTTTTACCACTTATATTATCATGCCTCGGCACGCGAAATGTTAGCTCCGTAATTAATAAACTTTAATTGTTACTAATTTAAATATTATATATTTCTATAACCTTAACATGTATTAAGATTTTTATCTTAAAATATTCCAAAAAATCTTAAAAGGAAGCGTTCGTTGTAGTACACCCACAAAGTTTATGCTTTCTTGTATAAAATTTATGTACATCTCTATATACATGGATACTTATAGCTATAATTAGGAGTCCGAGTTGAGAGAGAGAGAGAGGTGTGTGTGTGCGCGCGCGTAAGGTGTGTGTAAGTGTGTTATCTTCTTTATTTTAAACCAAAATTATTTAAACATTTCAAAACCAAGAAATTTTTTTTTTAAATATTGTATGAGGAAATGTGTTATGTCTGACACGTTTCATTTTATCATTAAAAAAAATACAACATCGTTAATATTATACATTATCGTTAATATGCAGTTATTTTTTGCATGAGAAATCATTTTCTGATATCTAAACAATATACTTTATTATATGCATAATGTATGATAATTCTCATAACTTTTATTTATATAGATCAAATAATTATTTTATCATTGGAAGCAATATAGTTTGTATAAAAATATGAAAGCATGAAACCCAAGCGTATCACTATTCAACAAACTATCGAGTACGTAACATTGAGAAAGAACACAGTATAGGTATATTTTACAATCAGTGAAACAAATAGTTAAATGAATTTTAATAGAAATAATCAATTATACATACATATGTCGGATAAAGGAGTACTTTAAAATGTGATTCTTCAATAAAATGTATACGAACGAAGCACATCTTGATGGCAAAACTAGTTTTTGTGATAACGAGAGTCAATATTATAGAGATATCGGTAAAGAGACTGTTAGAGATTTATATGCGAGAGGTGATTTTACTGAAATAATAATTATTCTAAATACACACTTTGAAATTCAAATTTATGAAAAGACCATCAAAATAAATATGTAGACTCAAACTGATTACTTGAATGACAAAATTTTTTACAGCATTGCTCATCATACTTGAGCTTCTTATTATATATTTATTTTGGTAGTTCAACAAAATTATTTTCAGGTCTGTATCTAGCTATAAATTTTTAGATACTTACTATTACTACATTGAAAAAAAAGTCTAGTTATAGCTACCAAATATTGAGTGAAATAGTTTCAACTAAATGTTGAGGTAATATAACTAAACATAAGTTTACCTTTACAAATATTTAGTAAATATTACTAAACAATATTACCAACGGTAATACTTACTAAATATTTGTAAAAGTAAACTTATGTTTAGTTATATTACCTCAACATTTAGTTAAAACTATTTCACTCAATATTTGATAGCTATAACTAGACTTTTTTTTCAGTGTAGATACAGCAAAATCGTTCTTTCTATAAATCAAAACATGAGGCTTCGAACCAAGCTAGATATTTTTAATACTAAAATTTCTATATAAATTATAATGTTTAAACAATTTTTAAAACAGACTTTTCGATCCCAGTCGGGTCATTCTCAATGTTAACAAACTAAAAAATATACTGTTAATAACTAAAAAATTCAATGGTGCATGTAATAAGAATCGCATTATTATAATATTCGCTCTTGTATCCGTATTTGTCATTCCTTGCAATTAGTGGAGGCAGTATCCAAATAAATCCATAATGATCGTTCTTTATAATTAGTGGAGGCGACATCCGTAGAAAGTCAGCCAAAATTTATCGATATGTAAGTTTATGGAAGTCAAGAAAATTTGCTAGATATATATTTTTTACTTATCTTTACAATACTAACTTTTATTCAACAAGATTTGATTTTGTAATAAAAAATTTTTACTATAAAAAAGTGTACAAATTACGTTGTATTATTGTTTTTAAAAAAATAACCATAGCATTTAAACTTATAATTTACATGAAGACCGCAGCTTATACTACCACATATTATAGTAATTTTAAATATAAAATTTTCTCCATGTAGGATATGTGCTAATTCAACAATCGTTAGAATTCCTATATAATATTTCGTCAACCATTGCTAAAATTGCATGATTGTAGCAGACTTTTCGATTCTGTTTTTTATTATGAATAGCGCTACATGATTCGTGAGCGGATTTTAAGAAACATTCTATATACAGGGTGTCCCGTAAGTTTTGGCCAATTGCTTTTGTATAGAGCGGACTAAACTGAGTCGAAAAATCTTCTACCATTTTGCAATTTTCGCAATAGTTAACAAAATATTAATTACTAAAAATTGCCAAATATTGGTTTTGAATAATTTTTTACTCAAATATTATCAACTTTACAGAAAAATTGCAACAGACAAAAATCATTTATTTTCTTCTCATAGAACTCTAAGAATTTTTTCAGAATTTTTA